AAGCCTCGGCAGCACTCGGCCCTCAAGTATTTCCTTTGCTAAGGATGCACTTTTATATTTAAGCTGACAGTTTTCAGTCAAACTACAGATTACTCTTGCTGAGCTCGGTTAATTAGCGTTGGTTAGTCAATGTCGATCTCTACAATGTACCTTGTGTAATCGTATGAATGGACTAATAATTGGATTATTTCTAGGGATCAATCTAGCTGGCGTGTTATACTTTGTTTTAACTTTTCCTCGGGGCTTACGTGCCAAGGCACACTTATGATTCAACACCAATCAAAATGATACCGCCAAAACCCACTGACTTCATCTCTCATACGTCTTTAAAATGTATCTGATTTGGAATGACCAGTGCGTTCACGCGTTCCTTTTCGAAGTGCTAACACCAAATAAACATGTGTTTAGAAAGTCAAGCAAATTATCGCATCATACTATATTGGTCGTTCAAACCATTTTTTCGTGTATGGTTTACAAAACACGAGAATTGGATAAAAATGCCCGCTCGTTTTATAAACTAATACTCAATTTCTAACTAAGCGTTAAAATACACAACGGGTGGGCTCAGACAAAAAAAACTTGATTTGAAACCCGATAAACAATAAAAGGTCCCTCGATGATCGAATATTTATTTATTAGCTTTGTCCAATGTACGCAGGTTAAATTACAACGAAAGAATTATTTTTATTAATCAGTTAATTTTCAATCAGTCTTGCACTACATTATACCTTTTACATTATAAGTTATAGATTATACGTCTTTATGCCGAATTAAAAAGAGAGGAGAGTTCCCTCAGGAATTTCTTATATACTTCACACGTGCAGTCATTTAATTTGGTTTATGGAATCAAGAGCAGATAAAGTGTATTTTTCATGTCTTGTAGTCTGAAGAGTAGTTGTATTATTCAGGTACATTTACTACTGCCGGTATTCTTCGTTTCCCAACAAAAAATGTCATAAGCTCCCATTTTCTCCAAATACGGTGAATTCAAAGTGTAGACAAGAACTATATTTGTGATAATTTGCATGAATATAAACATAATATGTGTGGGATGGTTTTAATAAAAGCCTCGATCGAATACATTTATGAGATATTTTCCGCTTTTCTAAATGCTTTCTGTCGAGTTTTGCTTGCTTAAAAGCCTGAAAATAGACACGTTATACATATTAAATTTGTGGACCATATGTGCGTCTTCTAAGTGTTTCACCCACACGTTTGATGTAGTTCTCGTCAAAGTCGCCTCGCAGAACGACCATTCGGGGCAGCCGATAGGAACTCTTTTTAATCGATGGAAGGTGCATATTCATCATACTCAGGGCGTCCGATTTCGTGTCCTCAGAACCGGAACTCTTGTTGCTTCCTACAACTGGCAGTTGTTTGTTGGTCCGTTTCTCCCCAAGGTGACGTTCACTGATGGGCGCGTTTTCTGAAATTGTTTCACAAATACTCTTTCCTTTTCGGCATTCCTTTACACACTGTTTGCTGCGGAAAGCTCCATTTTTACTGTCGTAGGTCTGCAGAACGCTGTCCAGCTGCCAGGTGGCAAGATCGCTGTAGAGTCTGGTTTCGCTATCCGGCTCAAGAAGCCTGATAACAAGACAATCGGACTTCTTTTTTTCTGATGGTTCTGTGTACAGTACAAATGTGCTGGTTATGGAGTCCACTTTGTGGGCCTGAATGCCTCGCGACCAGTCCAGTCTTCCAATCACGTTGCTATCAGCCGATATTAATTTAAGGGATTGTACCGACGCGTTGACGGTGACCTCGATTGGCTTTGCCTGGGCGCAGAGATTGAGGATGTGCCCCGCCAGTACATTGTCATTTAAATTGGATTTCTGGGAGATAAACAACTTTCCGAAAAAGTCAACACGCATTTTTTGACTTGTGGTGGACATTCGTTTTGAGTAAGGCAACCTGGTCCAGGTTAGACTTTTTGTTGGCAGTGACACTTGCTTGCAGATGACTGCTTTTATATTGAGACAGATCTTTCAACCCATTACTGACAGTGAATGTTGTCGGCGTTGAGGTGCAGAGGTCATCTGCATAACCAACCACAAGTACTAAATCGATGAATGTTTTGCTGCGGGATTTTGCACGCTTTTTTGGACGTTATAGTTCAGACTGACTTAGAAGCCCAGTTGCAGTGTGCATTAAATTCATCATGGAG